GGTAGAGAAAACAGTGCAACAATGAATGAATGAAAACCCAAAATCTCTGTAAATGTTCATTAAAACTAATAAAATTTAATAATAATAAAAAATCAATTAAAAAAATGGTGAGTATGAGGGAAAGTGTGTGAACTAATGTTTCTAAACTAAAGGATACAACTCTCCTGAATCCAAGGCTATATAAGGGCAGAGTTACTCAATCTTGAGGTCTTTTTCATCAAGGTACGAGAATTTATTCCTGTCATAATAACTCTGACAGGAAAATGCCTAGTGGAAACCCACATTCCCATTTCATACAGCACAAAAGCCTGACAACCTTCAGGAGTTTTGACTTGGCAGCAGCAAGAACAGCTATCACAGTCTTCACATCTGCGCTTTTCAACTGGTCCAAGAGGTAGTTGAACTTGGACAGCCTTTTTTTCCAGTGCTCCAGCTCTGCTCGGGGCCCCAGGTCATCTGCTTCCTTTCGGAGCTGATTGTTTTCAGCAAGGACCTGCACACTCACACAGAAACCATGAACAAATGAGTGGAGGAGAAATAAGAGAGTTGCATATGCTCCAGTAAGAAAAAAGGAAATGAAGAAGAAAAAAGGAAAGTATTCTATCTCAGGCAGAATATTTTTATATGTATTTGCATAGTTTACATGATGCCTTTTTACAAATTTAGGATGTATTCATTTGTAAAACTTCAACAAAATTTCAGTTGATTTGTCCCAACTACTAATTTATAAATAAAGTTCTCCATGGCTATCCAAAGGGGTGGATGTTTGAAACCACCAGCCAAAGAAAGAAAAATGTACAGCCTTGGAAACTCTAGAGGTCAATAGCAGTGGTCTAGGTTTTTAGTTGTAAATACAGGAAGTTTCCTTGGTCAGCCATTTATGGATAACATCGGGAAAACTCCATTCTTTAGCTTGGTTCATGTTCATTATGTTATTCTTTGGTGTGAGACACTCTTCCATTTAGGACTCCTATGAAAATATTTTTCCTTTTTTTAAATATTATTCATTCATTCATGCACATTTTCCTCCCTCCCCCAATTCCCTTTGTAAGGATATTAATTGTCATACACATGTTTTCTAATCGTTCATTTCATTCCCCCATTCCAGTGCAGTGTTCATCATTTATCCATTCTTTTCCCACTCTTCCCAAAGCTTGTCTTGATCCTATTATTAAAATAGTGGGCTTATGCAGTATTTTTCCCTTTGTGACTGAGATATTCCACCCAGAATAATGTCTTCCAGACTCTTCCATGTTGTGTAGTGTTTCATGAATTCATTATTTTTTTTTTCAGTGCTACGTAGTGTTCCATTGTATGAATGTACCATAGTTTCCCTATCCAATTATAAATAGGTATTTGGGCTATTTCCATCTTTTGTAAAATACATATTTCAAGGTTAAGTGTAATTCTTCAGGTTGGAAGACATACTGAATTGTAAAGTACCTTACAGTTAGTTATCTAATATAAATTGTGCTTTGATAAATAATTTGGCAAAGCATAGACACACAGATAGAGAGATATATCTCCATATCCATCTATTTCTGCTTTTTAGGGAACTCTGGTGATCAAGTAAGTATAGAGTTGTGCTGTCAACCCAAAGTTATGTGGTTTGAATCCACTAGATGCTCCATGGAGGAAAGATGGACAATCTCCTCTTGTGAGATTTACAGCCACTGAAAACCCATTGGAGAGTCAACTACGAGTTGGTTCAAACTTGACAGCACATGACAACATTTCTATACACTATCAACCATTTCATGAAATAAAGATGAGGCAGACTGTTTCTATACAGATATATAGCCTTGGAAACTCTACAAAACAGTTCTACTGTATTCTACACAATATCTCTTGGTCAGAACCAATTTGACGGCAGTGACTTTTTTTTATTATTCTTGACAAATAATTATAAATTAACATCAGTTTGACTCACACACCTTTTGGAGATTTGTAAAAAATATTTATTGTTGTGTACATTCAATACTCTTCTCCAGCACCACAGCTCAAAGACGTCAATTCTCCTTCTATCCTCCCTAGTCATTGTCCAACTCTCTGATGCATAACAAGTGATTGCAAAAACCATGGCCTGTATCAGGCGCACCTTAGTCTCCAGAGAGACACTGTTGCTCTTGAGTACCTTGAATGTACCATGGACTGCCAAGAAAACAAACAGATTCATCCTAGACAGGGTTAAACCAGGCTGCTCCTTGGAGGCAAGGATTCTGGGGCTTCGTCTGACATACTTTGGACATGTTGTAAGGAGAGACAGGTCTTTAGAGAGGGACATCATGCTGGGCAGAGTGGAGGGACAGCGCAGGAGGGGAAGACCCTCTATGAGGTAGATTGGTTCAGTGACTGGGATAATTGGGATGGGTGTGTCAGAGGCAATGAGATTGGCACAGGATAGAGCAGGGTTTAGGGCTGTTGTACATAGGGTCGCTATGAGTCGCAAACAACTCGACGGCACATAACAACAACAACAACCATCAACTCAGAACTGACCCATAGCTGACCCTCCAGTGAGTTTTCAGAAGCTAAAATAAAAAACAATAATTTGGGAAAATATTGTTAGGTTTCCATCAAGTCGCCTGCTAACCGTTGCAACCATATATACAGCAGCTCTGAACCCTATACTGTCCTGAGCCAGTCTCACTGATTCCAGCCCACCAGAAGGTAATTGTAAACAACATATACTTGCTTCCGCTGAGTAATTTAGTCACACGGCATAAGAAAACAAATGCTTGGTCTCTGAAAAGTACCTGTTCTGTCTGTTTGATCCATATTTTCATGCAACTCTCAACCTTTTCCAAAGTCTCAGGATTATTAGCCAGAGCCAAGAAGTCCATGGGTTCCTTCAAGGCGTGCATCTCAAATATGTCACACTTTTGAAGGCTCACCTAATTCAAAAGAAAATTTCATTAGATGCTTTTAAACACACACACACACACATACACACATCTGGCCAACAACTAGAAATAGCATGATTTCCTAAGTAATCCCTAGTTCTTTCAGGATCCTCCGTGTGTGTGTGTGTGTGTGTGTGTGTATCTCCTAACTTTTACTTAGGTATTAAGTATAACACTTAAGATGATTAATTCTGCAGCCTAACGTTGAATAAGAAAGAAGGAGGAACCCATAACATTACAAAATTCAGTAACTCTTAGGAAACTTGGAAATTATACAACTACATCATGAAATCAAAGACTTTGACAGGGAAAGGGATTGTTTATAAACTATCAGTTAATCTTTTCCAAAACTAAGAAAGTACAGCAAGACTTCATTTCATGTTCTTCAAATACACCGTAAGGAGGGGCCAGTCCTTTGGAGAAGGCCAGTGTGCTTGGCGAACTAGATGGAAAGCCAGAAAGAAGACCTCCAATGAGACGTACTAACACTAAGGCTGCTGCAGTGGGTTCTAACATAGCAATGACTGTACGTATGTTGAATGACAAGGCAGTGTTTCGTTACTCGACAGCACCTAACTACACAACAAGAAATAAAGAGGGAAAGCTCCTATGTTCTTATCCAACAATAATCTCAAAAAAAACAAATTCAACGGCAAATACCTGAATTTGGGGAAAGAGGAGGTATTTTGATTTGACCAAGAAACCTAATATCTTTTTGAAGGGACAGCAGAAAAGCCATTTTTTATAAACCCCCATTAATGCTAGAGGCCGAAGCGGGCCATAAAAATTCTTAGCTTAGGGCAAACACGAGTGCCCCGGGTAAGGCCTTGTCTGTCCTTGAAAAGTAAGGAATTAACTAGTGTCTACATGACACCAAAGGAGTAAAGGCGGTCAAAGTAGCCAGCCTGTCAAAAGTAGGCCCAAATGACTAATTCCCCAGCCCACCAACCAGGATCGCAATCCCCCTGCCCTAAACAGGGGCATTCAAAAGAGCTATAAAAGCAAGTGGGAGGGGAAACTCGGGGCTTTTTTTTTCTTCACCACCTTCCTGAGGAGGAAAAAAAGTCTCCACGTGTGGAAATAATATAATAAAGACTCTTGAAATTTCAGACGTGTTTTTAGATTTCTTTGAGGGACATTTTGTGGGCAGAACAATTTTAAGTACAATTAGGACACTGAATACAGACTGTTGCTATTGTTATTGTTATGTGCCATCTAATTGACTATGACTCTTATCAACTCTATGAACAACAGACCTGAACTTTGCCCTCTCCTGCCTCATCCTCAGGATCTCGGCCACGTTCAAGTCCATTGTTGTAGACTCTGTGTCTGTCCATCTCAATGAAGGTCATCCTCTCTTTCTCAGATCCTCTACCTTTCCCAACATGATTCTTTTTCCCAATGACTAGCCTTCCAATGACCACATGTTCAAAAAAATGTGAGGCAAAGTTTCATCATATTTGTTTCTAAAGGGCACCCTGTTTCTACTTTCTCCATGAGACATTTGCCTATTATGTTGATAGCCCATGATATTCAATATTCTCTGCCAATTTAAGGGCATCAATTCCTTTTCAGTCTTTCTTGACCATTATCTGAATTCAAATTAGGAAGAAAGAAAAGCCTAGTGACATACATAAGCTGAAGGTCAATTCAGCAGCAGATAATAAAATGCTGAGTCCCCAAATGGACCTCAGTATTCGGTAAGGGCACTTCTCCCTGGTGAGGGTGAACATGAAAGCCCTCTGTCAGATATGAATATGAATTTATATCTCACCTGAAAGGTTGGCTAAGCCTACCCAGGGGCTCTGCAGAAGAGTTGGTGACCTGCTTCTGAAAATATTACTCTAGAACATTCTAAAGGGCAGTTCTACTCTGTCACACAGGATTGTCATGGCTTAAAATTAACTCAGTGCCATTAACAAGAACGGCATATGCATATGTCACATATGTTAACCGTCTAATAATTTTAGGAATGACTCATTCTTACCTTCTCTTTCAGACTTTCTTGAGCACCTGATAGGACACTCACAAAGCCTTCCAGAGAACACAGGAAGTCATGTCGGATGCTGGTCGCCTCCTGAAAACTGTCATGCTCGCCCCAGCCTTGGTCTGTGGCTCTCAGAGCAGGGATGAAGATGTCAGAGAGCAAACGTCTCATGCTGTTCAGCAGGCCCCCATCAGCCGTGTCTAGCATGTTAAAGCACAATTCCTGGAAAAAATTATTAGAAGGTCCAGTACAGTAAAAACAACCTTAACTTTCAAATGGATGCAAGGTCATTTCTACATGTTAAGTCATCAGTTATCTGGTAATTATTATTATTGTTACTGAGTCAAGCACAACTCATACCAACCTTACAAACAAAAGGCCTGAAGTCTTCCTATAACTATTGTTGTTTATCAAAGTTCATAGAGTTTCCAGAGGCATGTTGTTTAGGAAGTGGATGCCACTCCTGCTTCTAAACCTATCATAGTATGTTATTGTTGTTTCACATCAATATTACTGGAAAATAAATCAAATGTATAAATCTACTTTGCAAAAATATCTGATTTCAAAGGGCCTTTATAAATTAAATTTTAATTGATTGGATTATATTTAGAAAAATCTAGTTGGAAGACTATAGCTACAATGGACCAGAGCATGACAGAGCTCATGAGAATGGCACAGGATGGGGCAAGGTTCCGATTTGCTGTTCAAAGGTTTATTATGCACTGTAGTTGACTCAATGGCACTTAATAGCAATATATATATATTCCTCTGAAAGTTCTTGTTGTTGTTACGTGCCATCGAAAGTAGTGTTAGCTATTATTATGTACACAGCAGTAGTCTCCACAATGAGAGATGATTTCCTGTACAAGTTGATTTGAGTACAATGCGGTTCGTGGTAACTCCATGTAAATAAATGGTTTTCCCTCTTACTCGATGGATGTTCTCCGAGGTGATGGCTTTGGAAGGGTCTGTCCGAATGAAGAAGACACATACTCCAGTAAGAGCGACATCTTTGCCCTCAGTCACAAACACCTTGGGTTTTTTAATTTTTCCAGAAGCAAGATTTACCCCTCCTGACAGGCCAGGCTGTCCTAAAAAATAAAATTAAAATATTTTTGTTTCAAAAATGCTATTTACAGTTCACATTTATTACCTCGTGGCAAGAGTATTACTGTTAAAACATCATCATTGCTTATCCATCCACTTACACTCCATGTGTCAGTAATTTAGAAAACCAATAGCTTTCAAGCGATCCAAAAGTACCTGCTTGACTCTAGTTTACAGATTCTTCTTCAAATTGTTGATCCAGGAATAAAGAAAGTTGGGGAAGCAGGGTAAGAGAGTTTGGTTCTTGTCTGATGCTTAATGGATCCACAAAAGTGATCTCCAACTACAATGGATGAAATGTCTGAGAAATGCAAATAGTTAACAGGCTCAGTTGCTGATCAACAGTTTGGAGATTCAAGTCCACCTAAAAGCACCTCAGAAGAAATCCTTGGCAATCTCCGTCCACAAATACTGTCATCAAAAACCTGATGGGCCACCATCCTACTCAGACACGCATGAGAGATCACCATGAGAAGGAATCGTGGCAATGGCTGCCAGTTTACCTGGGGGATCTTCAAAGAGGAAGTGAAAAAAGGAAGCAGGAAAAGATAACACATATCATCACATATAATGAGTGCCAGGTCATCTGCTGAATACTTTGTCTAGACTACAAAAATTCACAATATTCCTAAAGGCAGTTGAGATACGTGGAACAGGTCCACACAGTACCAACTGGTGGTAGAAGCAGTACCAGACACTAACTCTGGAGGCAAAACTCCTGGCTACCACTTTTCCATGCTACCCTTACTCCATCATCATCAGCATGGCCAGGGGCTCTCCCGTGGGCTATCATAATCATGAAGACACAGAGGCAGGAAAGCCTTGTGGTTGACAGTGTTGAGTCTAAACACTACAACCCAGTCTCCTGAGATAATCATTAAATCTGAAAACAAGTTTGGTTTGTTGTTTTTCCTGGGACTCTGCTTTGCCCAAGTAACAGCTTAGCTTCGTTAGTAACGTATATCTGTCTGTGCATTGTGCACTAAGACTTACGTAAATGGGATGCAGTTGGCAATAGCATCACAAATCAGATAAGAAGCTTCAGGAGCATTGATGGTAGTTGGGAAATTATGTAAGAGATAGAAAGAATGGCTGTAAAACTTCAAGAATGGGAATCATATCTTTGAATTGTACATGTAGAATATGTTGAAATGGTATATCCTATTCTGTGTATATTTTTTTGCAAAAAAAATTCAAAGTATAATTAAAAAATAAGATGATCAATCTCCCAGTTTACTCAGAACTGAGGACATTAAAATCCAGAAAAATTTCAGGCAAAACAGATTGGTTAGACACACTAGTCAAGAAATAAAATCTGTAACTCAGCCACCTAAAGAGCTTGTGTGTGGAGCTTGTGTGTGTTTCCCAGGATCTAGAGACAAGACGGACTAATATATGACAGCCCCACCTGCCAAGAATTCGAAATCCCATGGACAATGAGGTCAAGAGAGAGAAACTCAACTGATCTGAGCACAAAAATGTCTCTAGACAGCAGAGTCAAGATGACACAATCTAGGGAGCCAGGTGAGAGCCACAGAGGTCCTGAGCCACCATGGAGGCATTTTAAGTCACATTCAGTTAAGATCCAAATGACAGACGCGACCCTGGACATGTTCACCAGTCGATGCCAGGAAATTTGGATGACAGCTACCTGGCCAACTGACTGAAAGAGATCCATATTTGTACCCATTCCCCAAAAAAGTCATCTGACAGAATGTAGAAATTATTGAACAAAATCATGAAAATTATAAAGTTGTGGTGCTGAAGAGGAGTACTGAACATTCCATGGACTGCCACAAGAACACACAGGTTTTCCTGGAGAGGGTGAAGCAAAGTTGCTCTTTGGAGGCAAGGACCTTGAAGCTCCATTTCACATACTTTGGACATATTGTCTGGAGGGACTGGTCCTTGAAGAAGGACATTATGCTTGGAAGGGTGAAGGAACAGAACAAGAAAGGAAGACCCTGGATGAGATGGGCAGCAACTGAAGCAATGTGGACAAATGTGTCAGAGAGAGTGAGATTGGCTCACAACAGGGCACGGTTCAGAGCTATTGTGCATAAGGTCACTATGAGTTGCAGGTGACTTGACGACAACAGCATCATCATTAAAATCACATGCAAACAAAATGCTGCTTAGGATAATTTAAAAGCAGGTACAACAGTCCATGGACAAAGAACATGCATAAGTTCAAGCAAGCTGGATTTAGAAGTCATGGCACAAGGCATATATCATTGCTGATATCAGATGGATCCTGGCTGAAAGTAGAGAACACCAAATCAATATCTACTTGTTCTCCACTGGCTATGAAAAGGCATCTGACTGTATGGATCATAACAAATTGTGGCTAACCTTGAGAAGAATGGGAATCCCAAAGCAATTACACGTGCTCATGTGAAACCTATATCTAGACCAAAAAGATACTGGGTGAACAGAGCAAAGGAACACTACATGGTTTAAAAAAAAAAAAAAGGAGGGTGGCAGGGTTGTATTCTCTCCCCATACCTATCCAAACTGTACGCTGAGCAAATTATTCAAGAAACTGGACTCTATGAAGAAGTATGTGGCATCAAGATAGGAAGAAGACTCATTAATAAACTTCATTATGCTGATGGCACAACCTTGCTCGCTGAAAGTGAGAAGGACTTGAATCACTTGTTGCAGAAGATCAAAGAGTACAGCTCTCAACATGGATTGCATCTCAAAGTCAAGAAAACAAAAATTTTCACCTTCAGACCAATAGGTGACATATGATTGTTGGAGGAAAAAACCTGAAACTGTCAGCAATGTCATCTTACTTGGATACATAAGTAATGCACTTGATACCAGCAGTCAGGAGATCCAGAAACACTGTTGTAGCCAGGGATCTCTCCAAATTATTGAGGAAGAACGATGTCAGTTTCAAGGCTAAGGTAAATCTGATTTAGGTCATGGTCTTTTCAATCACTTGCTGTGTGCTGAGAGCTGGACAATGAAGAAAGATGACAGAGGAAAAATCACTGCCTTTGTGCTGTGGTACTGTTGAAGAGGACCAAATGCCCCATGGACTGCAAAAAGAACAAACAGGTACGTCTTGGAAAAGGTGAAGCCAGAGTGCTCCTTGGAGGCAAGCTTCATCTCACATACTTTGGGCATGTTGCTAGGCTCAGCTATTCCTTAGGAGGAAATATCGAGGGAGAGGAAGATTTTCAACCAAGTGAATTGTCACAGTGGCTTTAGCAACAGGCTCAAGTTATCAGAGATTGAGAGGTTGACACAGGACAGAACAAGGTTCAGTTCTGTTGTTCATAGGGTCACAATGAGTCATACTCCACTCAACAGAACCTAACAACGATAGGACCACTAGTGCAAGTACAAGGCAGAGTGAGTAACATGATGTAAACTACTGAAAGTACAAGTTGTGGCCCACACACAGCCAGTCAGCAGTAAGCACCCTCGACATGGCCTGAGTGTACTTTCTGGCCACTTGATAATGACCTTCGGCAGGATTTTGCTTGCAGTTGTAAGGAGCACAATTCTTAGTAACCCTACGAACAAAAGATCTGAACCCTGTTCTACCCTATACCATCCTCACACTTCCTGACATACAAGAGCCCACCCCTGGGGAGAGCCATCTGGCAGGTTAGAGCCACCTGGTCCCTGGGGAGAGCTTCCCAGCCCCTACAGAGAGCCACCTGGCACATGGGGAGAGCTTCCCAGCCCCTACAGCGAGCCACCTGGCCCCTAAGGAAAGCTACCTGGTGTGTATGAGGAACTTTATCTAAGCCACTTTTTTCCATCTCCTGCCTCCAGCACACCGGTGAGTAACGCCTCAAAAGCCCTTTGCTTTTTAACTCGCAAGTTTGTTCCCTCTAGGTTTGCTCCCTTTCCTATAGGTAACCTGAACACTGAGACTTGTTCCAGAGCCTGAGCCAGAACAAAAAGGAAATATAACTGCCAGCTAAGGAAGCAAAGGTAGATGGAGCCTCAAAGTTTAGCCAGCCACTTCCACTGAACTCACCCACGCAAACACCTTGCAGTCCAAGAGGAAAAAGCATCAGGAAAATATCTTCTAACTGAACAAGAAGGCCGGCACCTTCAACTCAAGATCACCAGTAAAGTGTTAAAATGGGCTCCCCTTTCCCTTCAGCTCAACGCCCCTGTTCAGCATGAAGCACCCAGAGAGTCTGTGCCCCATTACCAAACAGGGAATTCACAAATACGAAAGACAATGTGCACCATTACCTTGTCTTTTCCAGTTCCTGGCAGATTGCTCTCATTTCCTTTACCCACTCCCTTTTTCCACCAAACTGTGCAACCCTGAGATTTCATCCTTACCCATCCTCACCATTCTGCTCCCACCCTTTGTTATGTGCCGTCGAGTCGCTTGCGACTCATAGCGACCCTATGTACAACAGCCCTCAACCATGCTCTATCCTGTGCCAATCGCATGGCCTCTGACACACCCATCCTGATTACCCCAGTCACTGAATCAATCCACC